GGGAGGGGGGCTGGGGGGCACCGTGGAGGTTCCAGGGGATGCTGGGGGAGGCTGTGGGATCCCAGGGGGGCGCTGGGGGTGCCCTGGGGGGCACTGGGGGGCACTGGGGGGCACTGGGGGCCGCGGTGCTGAGGCGCTGCCCGCAGGCAGCCCGACATCCCGGTGCCGTACCTGTACGTGGACCTGGGCGCCGCCGTGCTGTGCGCCAGCTTCATGTCGTTCGGCGTCAAGCGGCGCTGGTTCGCGCTGGGCGCCGCGCTCCAGCTCGCCGTGGCCACCTACGCCGCGCACGTGGGCGGCCACGCGCACTACGGCGACTGGCTCAAGGTGCGGGCACCGGCTGCTCCGGAGGTCTCCAAACCCGCCGGGATGCGCCCGGCTGCCCCGTGCCCAGGGTGTCCGGGTGATCCCTAGAGGTCCCTTCCAACCCCAACCATCCCGGGATTCTGCGGGCCGGGGACGCCCTCACGCCGCCGTGTCCCCTCCAGGTTCGCATGTACTCGCGCACCGTCGCCATCATCGGCGGCTTCCTCATCCTGGCCAGCGGCGCCGGGGAGCTCTACCGGCAGAAGCCGCGGAGCCGCTCGCTGCAGTCCACGGGGCAGGTCTTCCTGGGCATCTACCTCATCTGCCAGGTGTGGCACGGGGGGGACGGGGACACGGCGGGACGCGGGGATGTGCTGGGGGGACGCGGGGACGCTCAGGATGGGAGACACGCTGGGGACAGCAACGCGCTGGGGACAGGGGATATGCTGGGGACCAAGGACAGGGACTTGGGGACACTCTGGACAGGGATGCGCTGGGGACGGGGGACACACTGGGGACCAGGGGATGTGCTGGGGACGGGGGGACACTGGGGACCAAGGGACATGCTGGGTACAGGGCATATGTTGGGTACAGGGGACACACTGGGGACCCAGGGACGTGCTGGGGACAGGGGACACGCTGGGGACAGGGGACGGAAAGGGGACAAGGGCATGGTCCTCATGGTGGCTCCGAGGCTCCCTCCGTGGTGCAGGGAGCCGTGGGGCGGTCGCAGCCACTGGCGCCGCAGGTGCCCACGTGGCCGCCATGCGCGTCCCCTGCRCGTCCCCCCYGCCTTTGGTGGCACGGCCGCTGCGGCCCCCAGGCGTGCACATCCTCCCGCGCGTGTGGTGACGCCGACACCGCGGTCCCCAGGCGTGCGCGTGCACCGTGCGTGTGTCCCCAGGCGTGCGCGTGCACCGTGCGCGTCCCCTGCGCGTCCCCCCCTGTGTTTGGTGACACTGCCACCACTGCCCCCGGGCGTGCGTGTTCCTCTGCACATGCAATGACACCGCCGCTGTCCCCAGGCGTGTGTGTCCCCCCTGCACGTGCAGTGACACCGCTGCCACAGTCCCCAAGCGTGCGTGTCCCCCCCGCGCCTGCGGTGGTGCCGACACCGYGGTCCCCAGGCGTGCGSRTGCACYGTGCGTGTGTCYCCAGGCGTACGCGTGCACCGTGCGCGTCCCCGCGCGCTTGGTGACGCCGCCGCGGCGCTCCCCACGTGTGCTTGTCCCCCCACGCATGCAGTGAAGCTGACACCGTGGTCCCCAGGCGTACGCGTGCACTGTGCATGTGTCTCCAGGCGTGCGCGTCCCCTGCGTGTCCCCGC